CACAGTGCCATTGGTTGCTAGGAAGCTAGCGGCTTGGCTGTACAAGGCCATTGGTTGCTGAATGCTAGTGGCTGGGCCACACAGTGCCATTGGTTGCTAGGACACTACTGGCTGGGCCGCACAGTGCCATTGGTTGCTAGGACACTACTGGCTGGGCCGCACAGTGCCATTGTTTGCTAGGACGCTGTAAAAATGCTGCATGCTGTGAACTGGACTTCAGTAAAAAAAAAATTCACCCCGAAATGGAATATTTATAGAATCTGAGCGGTTACTACGGCAACATCTTTCAGTTTATTTCCCCATAGGTCCTGTTCTTACGCATTAACATCTCATTACACCGCGAATAGTCGATATATCTTGCAAAGTTGCAGCAGTCGGGTTTTCAGCCACATTTATGAGCTGTCACAGTCACAGGCACCATGAAAGCAATTTACTACAATTTTCCTGTTTCGTATTTGACGTTTATGTTTATTGATTTGAAGACACTCCCTCTAGTGGTGATGTCTGGTATATCTCCAGGAAACATTTTCATTTTAGCAACAGCAAGTAAGTTACCCCTGATAATGAGTATAGTAGTATGACCGGATGGGTGCTGCTTAGTATAACAATCAGACCACTATTGAAGCCAGATAATACACAGAGCGCCGTATTTCTGGCACTGCGGGGATGAGAAGCAGCAGCTGCGGCAGTGAAGGGCTCCAGTTGCATCCCCGGCCTCTGCGCTCCCCCCTCCATTGATAAAAAGCCTTGCAAGACGTTCTATGAATGGAGAAGTGGAGATCATGTTGTATACCCGTCCCCATTCTCCCCTCCTCCAATCACAGAGTGCCTTGCATGCTATGAATGGATGGGGGAAGCAAAGGGGGCGGGAATGCGACTGGAGCCCTTCCCGCCATTCAGCTTTAAGTTAACATCTCCACCATAGTAGACCTAGGATCACCTACAGAGAGCCTCCCAATCCTACTCTACACCTTGTGCGCTCTCTTATGTAAATCTCAATGCAAGATCTGACCCGCCCCCTACAGCTCATGGTTGGCCGGTTAGATTGACGGATGGTCTCGCTGGCCAATTGCTAGCTGTGGAATATAAAAAAGGTGACACTTGACTTGTAAAGGACCCTGAGCTCCGGGGATCAGCCGGGAGGGGGGATGTGAGCTTATGACCAGGAACCTGTAGTCAGGGCCTGTGCTAGACTATTTTGCGCCCTAGGCAAGACCAGCTACTTGCACCCCCCCTCCCGTGGCGCAACCCCCCCCCCCAGTGCAGCACTAATCTCCTGCAGGTTAGCTTCTGCAGGCGACAGGTGGATGTCATTTAATTTGAAATTGAATTGAAACCCCACCCACTGAGCAGAGGAGCGAACCTGAGAGAGAAAGTTGTCTCTCAGTTACACTCCTATGGCCAGTGGGCGGGGGCAATAGCCAGCTTGCTATTGGCTTTTGCAATTTGAAATAGATGGGGGGTCACCTTGGGGGGATGAATGGTCAAGGCTGCGCCCTAGGTAGCAGTGCACCCTAGGCGGCTGCCTAGTTTGCCTAGTGGCAGCACAGGCCCTGCCAGGAGTGGAAGGAGTAGTTTTTGTTTAAGACAGGTCTCCTTTAATGCTGAGATGAACTCAGCTAGCCTTAGGCCTTGTGCCCACCGGTGGCTGGGGGCAGTAAAATCAGGCGGCTGATCTGTGGTTTTATGCCCCCGCCCCGGTTGCCTGCCGCATTGTCAGCACAGCATTCAGACAAAATATATACAGCATGCCGTGCTTGGCCAGTGGCGCTGCTTGCCAAACGCGCCCATTGCAATGGGTGGGACTGTCTTGTGAGGAACTCGGGTGCCTGACAACATCGAAACAGAATTCAGAGTTGCCCTTTTCTGAATTGCGTTAGCTGCATTCCAGACACAGAATGCCCAGCGCCCTTCCAGGCCGGTAACACTGTATCCGTCTTGTACATATCACAGACGCTGCTGACGCAATGCCACGCAGTTATGTCTGCTCTCTTATCAAGGTCGCTGGCTTAACCCCATCCTACCTGGCCGGAAGCCACAGGCGGATGCCGAAAGCACACCAAGATATCCCACAAAGGACGCCAGAGCCCATCTGGGTGCAGATGTCCCAGGAGGTGCCAACTCCATCTAGATTGTGTTATCTCCGCATAACGGACAGTGCGGCATGTCACGTGAAGATTCATTGATGATAGTATTTAAAAAACTAAGGGGAGGGTTACAAAATTTAGGGCCCATTTACTTTTTTGTGGTTCACCAAATCACTTTAACATGCATTACATGAAATATAATGGGCTACCACCGCACCCTAATACACCAAAAAAGGACACATAACCCTTCTTTATTCTAACCGTGCATTGCCGGGCGTTATGGTGTGCTACAAAGCAGGTGCATTGCCATAATGTGTTGGTGTGTCATTCAAAATAAATGGCAGTGCAACCCAGTAACACATGTCTTGTAGTACCATGTGCATTACCATGATGCGGAAGTCTAAATGGGCCCCTAAAAGGGATTTTGTATACCAAAACTCCATTAACCACTGTGCTGTCACAACCATTGGTATTACACAGCTATGCATTGCATTGCATATTATTATGTTGCGGTATACGCCTGACATCTAGTGGTAGATTAGTGCTACTACACCTTGTTTTGTGTGTCTATTGGTATTTTCCTCTGTTCTCCCTGTTGGAACTTCTTGCACAGCCCCACAGAGAAACACAAGCACACAGTCTGATATGCATGCTGCACAGGGCTTGGCAAAAACAGGAAGGAAGCCACAGCTTTATTATCTATCTTATTCAATACAACAGAGTATACCATAGATACTGTATAACAGAACTTATAAACACTGACATCTAGTGACCGAAATTGTATACTGCAGGAGTTATTGCTATAGATACAATAATGTGTATTCTAACACTCCCCTCCTGTTTAGAATCAGTTGGTATACTCTTAGATAGACATCTATGATCTTCATCTACTTCCTGGACTGAGATGCCAGCTCTGAAATGACACGATCATGGACAAATGTCTGACACAGACCAGCCCCTTGCCTTGTGACTTGCTGCAAATTTACAATGTGCAGTCTGATCACTGGGGAAGGGGAGACCGAGGAAATGTTCCCTCCTTCCTGCAGCAGACTGAGGATGTCATCCCACCCTAGGCAAAGTCACTGAACTAGAGATTAAAGAGTATTTTTTCATTATTAAAGGCAGAGCTTTGTTGAAAAATTATACAGTTGCTGTATATTGTGACATATCAGAAATGCATTATGAAGACTTGGAAAGTCACTGAAAGGTAAACTTGAACGAAGCAAGGAAGTCTCTCTACAGCTGCTGCATCCCACATGAATATGAAATTAGACGTGCACCGAAATGGAAATTTCAAAACCGAAATAAAAAAAATTGTCAGGCCGAAACCCAAAATGTTTTTTATTTTTATTTTTATGATGATGGATGAGGACAGAGTGTGTTTACTATAACTACAATTATGAATGAACAGGAGGTGATGTAGAAGGTGATGTAGATCACTTCCCATTCATTCATGATTGAGGATATAGTAAACATACCATATCCTCAATTATGTACAAACACTCAGCGATCACTGATCTCTCGCTGCTTGTACTGCTCTCCATCCTGACTGCTGTCACAGGAGGCTGAGCGAGCCTCCTGTGACAGCGCTGTCCCCACCCACACACCGCTCTGCCGAACTGTGATTGGAGGCTGAGCAGTGTGGGAGGAGAGTCGCCGGCCGCTTACAGCACTTTCCTCCCGCAGCGCTCGGCCGGCTGTCACACTTTCTCTCCTCCCCGCTGGGACACAGAGCAGCGCTCAACGGGCAGGAAAGAAAGCAGGGATGCGCCGATGTATCGGCACTAAAATGGCGCTTTTGGCAAATAATACATTTTGCAATTGAACTGACTTGGTGGACAAATGCCTGAGGGAGCAGGGAGCACAGTGACCCTGGGGCTAGGCTGGGGACCCAGAGCCAGCCAGCACTGCTTCTTTGTATTGGATGTTTCCAGTACAGTTGCCCATAGACCAGGCGTGTCAAAAGTAATATTTGGGCTGCATGCTTCGCTCAGTTTACAATTGTCAATGGCCATGAGCCTTCCCCACTGAGCTGCTGCTGTCCTACCTAAGAGCATTATGGATCTACTAGCAATAGACTAGCTATGTTCCATTATCGCTGACCTATCTTACTTGTCGTTCCTAAGGCCCAAGGCCTTTTCTGAACAAGGGGGGGCTGTTCCCGTGTGAAATGACGGGTCAGCCTAGCCTGATCGCAGTTTTATCCCTGGGCTAGACAATACATTCCAGGCTGGAGATAATATTGTGTGTGTGCCCATCTTCTCCTGGCTGCCAAGTTTGATAATACACTGGAGGAACGTCAAGAAGGCACTCCTGTCTGAGACATCCCAAGTCAACACAGACAAGAAGAAATTAACACTGCTCTCGGCAGACATTCAGAAAACTGTCCATAATATAGGAAGTTCAAAAAGCCTACAGAGAGGTGACATGTATGAGGGAGCCATGAGAAGTCACATGTTGACAGGAAAGTGGAGAGATATCTAGAGGAAGACAAATCAAGGAGAATTGCAACAAAGTTGCATTTGTGCGAGAGAAGGTCAGAACCCAAAGGAGAAAGGACTACTTGAAACACGGAGGCTGAGAGACAGAGAACTGAGAGGACCCTAGTAATTGTAGGAGGACAAGTCACCCCAGAATGTCTTCTAGATTGGTGCTGCTCCTCTTTTTGGTTCCATTGTGCAGCAGGATGGGGCAGAGCTGTGAGATCCCAGATGGTGATCGCGAATTCATCCTGGACAAGGTGAAGGTGCAAATTATGGAGGCACTGGGACCCCCGCCACCTGCTGCCTTGACTCCAGGGTCACTGGACAAGCCCCAAATACCTACCAAAGTTCCAATGAGGATTCTACGTAAGAGGCACAGCCCAAAATATTCTGCTGTCGTTGAGGACACCTCGCAGGTCATCTTATTCCCCACTTCAGGTTGGTAAATGAGATTACAGAACTTGTTTTGGAAAGAGAAATTAGAAGCATTAAAGGGTTGGTCTACCCAAAACTAAAATTTTAGTGTTTTGTATACTTCCGGAGAGCTAAATCATATGAGGGATTCTTATCTATCTCAGGGTATCAGTTAGTGAGATTCCTGTGTCCAGTACCCGGGTCTACATATTAGTTGTGCCCATAGAGAGGGCTTCCCACTCTGTCTGTTGCATTCTATATGTAATCTATATCAGCCTTTCTCAACCAGGGTCCCGTGGCACACTGGAGTGCCTTCTGCCTTCCTCAGGAGCACCTCAAAATTTTCGCACAGGGTTATACCTTTCCATGGTCCAGGCAGGCTTCTGAGGTGAAGGAGGTCCCAGATGTGAAGGGGGAACTCTGATGTGAAAGGGGGGCTTCTGATGTGATGGGGGAACTCTGATGTGAAAAGGGGGAACTCGGATGTGAAAGGGGGGCTTCTGCTGTGAAGGGGGAACTCGGATGTGAAGAGTGCTCATAAGGCTTGTTCACACCAAGTGCGGAGCAGATGCAGAGCAGAGCAGTTACAGAACGCATAAAAAATGCACCCAATGTATTCCAATGGTATTTTGGGCTCTAGTTCACACCAGAGCGTTCAGTTCCAGAGTATGTGGAAAAACTGCAGCATGCCCTAATTTTTTCTGCTCTGGAACGCATCACAAACACATGCAAATGCCCTGGAACGCACTGAAAGCCCATTTTAGGCTAAAACATAACAATTTTTTTAAAAAACGCCCCGGAACGCGGCAAAAACACACTGCACTGTATGTGCAGAAACTCATGCAGATCTGATCCGCATTTGGTGTGAACAAGCCCTTAAAGTATGTATGTGGGGGTGTGTGTGTATGTGGGGGTGTGTGTGTGGGGATCTGAAAGCTGTGATTCTGATGTGAAGGGGGAACCCATTTATTTGTGATTTTGGGTAATGTTTCCTGTTAAAATCCATACCAGACCTATCTGGGATAAGGGTCTGGTATGGTTTTGGAGGAGCCACTTATTTTCCAGTTGTTTTATTTTACATTTTAGACCGGGGTGCCTCAAGATTTTGCACAGTTTTAAAGGGTGTTGTGACTGATAAAAGGTTGAGAAATGCTGTTCTATATAATGGAATATATATTGTGAGAAGCTGGAGCACACAAAGGTGGACAGGTGTCTATGTCACTGTAATAGGGCCGGATTCTACTCCTGCTCTTACACAGTCTCAACCTGCAGCTAAAGAAGCTGGAGAATTTTGAAGCATCATTTTAGGTGGATTAGATTCAACATTTTTTGCTACCTATTTTTGGTTTTTTTTTGTTATTTGTGCTTGCTTTTGGTGTGGTTAGGGCCAGCTACAACCTTCATGCTCCAGCACTAAATAAGGAGGATAGAGTAATTGGGCAAAGCTGTTCAGCTACCTGTCGTTTTGCAAGGGAATGATGGACTTTTAGGCAGTTGGTGCCTGATTGAAGCTACCCCAGTACAGATAATGCAAATAGGAGAGCTTCTCTGTGCCTAATGCAATCTTTATTAATGTCAATGGAAGGTATGGGAAAAGCCGCTGCCTTGCCTTTGGCCCCATTCTGCCTTAATCCTTCTTTTATTGTAATTCATAGAGGTGCAGAAGAAGGATCTTTCTCCTTGCAGACATACAAGTACAACACACAGCAAACCGCATGAGTCTGTGAGGGCAGATCAGCAGTCTCCTCATTCCTATTCTTATTACTTTGTATTGTTACATTGGTTAGGCTGGGGCCACTTCGAAGGCCACTCCTATGGGTCTATGGACATGTGCCATAGACCCATAGGAGCAACTAAAATCTTTTTAAAGCAGTTCCTCACCTCCCTGGGTGTAAGTGTTTCAGTTACTCGCATGCAATCACAACTAAAATAATTAGTGGTTAAATAGAATCTAACATTTGATTAATTAAGCCATCTAATTGTTTACCTAGAGGAGCACTTCTCATGGCACCCTTTAAAAAATCTTGAGGCACCCCAGTCTTAAATTTAAAAACCGTAAATGTACAAATGTAAAAAACAAAGACTTGTGGCCCCTCCAAAATCCATACCAGACCCTTATCCGAGATAGGGGTCTGGTATGGATTTTAAGGGGAGGGGTCCCCATGCAAAAACATAAGAAAAGTAGGGTTCCCCATTCCACTTTAGAGTCCCCCTTTTCACACCAGAGTTCCCCTTTACATTAGGAGCCCCTTCCTTTCACATCAGAGTCGCCCCCTCTGACACTAGGAGCCCCTCTTCACATCAGAAGCCCCCTTCTCATCTGTCTCCCCCTCTTTCACACCAGGAGCCCTTTCACATCAACCCCCCCCTCACACTAGGAGCCCATCTTCACATCAGAAGCCCCCTTCTCATCAAAGTCCCCCTTTACATGAGGAGCCCCTTCCTTTCATATCAGAGTCACCCCCTCTGACACTCTTTACATCAGAAGTCCCCCTTCACATCAGGAGCTCTTTTCACATCAGAGGCATGACGCTGGGTGATACATTTTGGGGAAGCCAGAAGGCACCCCAGGGTGCCACAGCTGCCTGGTTTAGAAAGGCTGACCTAGAGCAGTGGTGGTCAACATACAAGGTATAGAGGACCTCAACTGTGGTCCCTGATATCAGCAAAGGGCCACAGATAACATACAGTATATGTAATGGTGGAGAGAATGGAGACATACTAGAGGGAGATGATGGTTAGAAACTGTAAACAGTCTACAGTTTAAAGTTGGAGATATGATGCAGAAGAAGACAGCGAGTGACCGGAGACATGTTACATAAGGCTAGTAGAGATCACTGTTATTAAAACTTTAAAAATCAATGCTCCCAATCCCACTACAGACTGCCGGAGTCCAACCGTTGCAGAACAGTTAGCAACTGGCCACAGAGCGGGCACCAGGGACCTATAGGCATAGGAACTATGTTCTCTTTGTGCTAATGTGCTCCCATTAAGATCTACGTTTAACAGCCTCACACTGGAACTGAAGTTTTCTTTTTAAAAGCTCCAACAGAGTTGCTCAGAGCTTGCATCGCTTTTCAAAGCCTTGCTTTACACACTGTTCTTGTACAAGCTGAAGCCTGTGTTGACAAGCTCTACATCCCTGGTAGCCAAGGACCACATGTGCCACTTTGATGCTTGTTGTGCCCTTTGCCTACCAGAGCAGTCAGTAGTGGAAGCATTCATTTAGAAGGAGGCTATGACAGTGATCTAGCAGTCTCATGCAGACTCTCTCCTGCAGTGTGTCTCCAGTCTCCGACCACCGCTGTTTCATGTCTGCAATCTCTTCTTCTTCTCCCCTAGTATGTCTGAAGTTTCTGACAATATTCTACTGAATATTATGTGTGGCCCTTTGGAGCAGTCAGGGGCCACAGCTGAGGTCCCCTATATCTTGTAAGTTGAAAAACACTGGTCTAAAGGTTTAAAAGATGTAACTAGTGTAGTTATACAAACTCACCACTAGAGGTCACCCTAATGCTGGCTCCAGTGGACAATGTGGTCTCCTGCCCACAATTACACCAGCAGTGTCATGCTGAGATTCTGCAGTTATCAGATGTTTAATGCTTAGAAACCCTGCTCTGAGAAAAATACAGCCATTGCTCAATTCTTTCTGAAAATGCTAATAGCCTGGCTGCCCCTGGGGTCACTAACCCAGAAGAAGCATGCAGATCAGCAGAGTCAGAGCAAAGTCACATCTCCTAATCTATATGCTTGTTCTGGGTCAATGGCTCAAATGGTATTGAAGCCACTGAATCAGCATGGCAGCCAGAAAGCAATGAGAACTGGGTGGAATTGAATAGACATGTAAGCTGCGGAACAATTCAGTTCGGTTCGGATATTTCGTTATTTTGGAATTCGGGGTTCGGATCAGAAATTCAATTCGGTTCGGGTTTCGGATTCGGCCGAAATCTGAATTTTGTTGGTTTCGGATGAGTTTACAAATATTCGTTGCAAGTAAAACAGAAAACCATATACAGATATTAATACTAAAGCTGAATTTCCCAGACCCGAATGCCATTCAGGATCCGAATTTCCGAATTGCATTTGGTAGCTCCTGAATGCCATTCGGGTCTGGGAGCCTCAGCTTTAGTAATACCGTGTTTCCCAGAAAATAAGACACTGTCTTATTTATTTTTTTTGCCCCCACAAACCACACTAGGTGTTATTTTCAGGGGATGTCCTATTTTGTTTTTAATGTGCAACAAAATGTACAACAATCTAAAGTTATCTGATATCACTCCGCCTGTCACAGTAACTGGCGCTATAGAGTAATATCGGCTAATGCGGCTCTGCTCCCTCCGCCTCCGCAGCCTTGCTTTCTACAGCGCCGGCTTCCTTTGCCACCAGGGACAGTGGTACCAGCGGTGCAGCAGTGAGGACATCAGACAGTGGACAGCGAGGTAAAGTACGGTACCATTTACCGGTACACATTACAGTACAGTACAGTACCATTACATTAAGCAGTGCCTTCAGGGGGACAGCAGTTGGTGAAGTATGGTACTGGAGTGCTCCCTATCACTGCGGTGACCCGAGGGAGTCCCCTGTCATCCCCTGATACAGTATGTCCCTGCAGGCTGATACCATCTCTCCTGCAAGTTCCCCCTCACATGCTACCACCAAACTAGGTCTTATTTTCGGGGTAGGTCTTATATTACAGGAATCTTGAAAAATAGTGCTAGGTCTTACTTTCGGGGTAGGTCTTATTTTCGGATGATATGTGTATATACTGAACACAAATTTTTGTTTTACGGCACGTGACTTTTCTGGCCAATCAGATGGCTCCCGTGTTGCAGTAACGAAAATGTATGTTCAGACCCATTCGGATGCATTAAACGGAAAAACACATCTGAAATCACATGTCCGATTCAGTTTCGTTTTTGAAAGGAATTCAGACGGGATCTGAAATTCGGAAACCGAAATCCGGATCCGGACACATTCAGATACATTGGGATTCGGATGCGTCCGAATGTCCAAATTTCCGAAAATTCGTCCGAATTTTGATTCAGAACGCAACGAATCGCACATGTCTAGAATTGAATAGCCGCTGTACTATATATGTGTAATGGGTAGTAACCTTTAGAAATTAGTTGGCTTTTCAAGTATCCTTCGTCTTAAAAAAAGAAATGGTGATTATTTTAGCACCTTTCACGTGGTCATTATACCTTCGGAGTCTCCAACATGACCAACGCCATAAGGAACTAGATGTTGTGCTCCAAAACTTTTCTGGACCCAACTAATTGAATCACCATGACTTTATTGAACTAATGGTAAATTTGTTGGCTGGCATTGCTGGCGTTTTCACCTGAAAATGCTATTTTAACACAAAGGATGTCTAAGAGGTAATGATCCGGGACTGAATTGCATTCTTTTTCTTACAGATGTTCTTTGTGAGACTCCAGATGTTGAAACTCTCAAAACTGAAGGTGGAAATAGCTACACATATGTCTTCCGCCCCTCCACTCACATCCAGAGTCGTAGAGTCTCATCAGTGCAGTTCTGGTTTTTTACTGGAAAATCCATGATGGACAAGTCTACCTTGCACCAGACCATGCCCAGACAGGGAGTGCTAGAGCCCAGTTCAGAATTTCCTAACCGTGGGCAAAAACTAACACCCAGCAACTCTTCAAATGGTGGAAAACCTAAGACAGGTGACAGGTTAAACAGTGGCAATAAAGAGAAGACCCTACAAGTGGACATCCAGATACTCTCTGAAGAAAAAACAGTCACTGTGGAAACTATCAAGGTGCAGAAGATGGGTGACTGGACTGTCTTTTACCTGGCTCCAGCTTTCCACAGTTACCTGACCAGGAGTCTTTTTGTGCTGCTGGTACATTGTCCAAATTGTCCATGTTCAGATGAGCCTGAAAATACTCCCTTCCTTATGTTCCATACTCTTCCAGCTCAACGTGGTCGCAGATCGACCATTCCATGGTCTCCATCTGCTCTAGAGCTTTTACAGCGGCCTCCTGCATTGGGAGCAGATAGTGCACAGTGTCATCGGGGTTCTATAAACATAACGTTCGAGGAACTAGGCTGGAACCAATGGATTGTGTACCCTGGCAGCTTCCAGTTTCACTATTGCCATGGCACCTGTTCACCTAGCCACGGCCTGAGCCTTGCTCTCCACTGGGGGAACTGTTGTGCCGCATTGCCCAGCACCATGAAGCCGCTGAGAGTAACCACCACCACTGATGGAGGCTTCTCTTTTCGTTATGAGGTTGTCCCGAACCTGCTAACCCAAGACTGTGCCTGCAGTTAAAGGGTCAGTCCACTGGCTGCCAAGCTGGTGCATTTGTTATCTCTCATAGGCCTCTGACAGCAAGCAACCTTAATCCCCAGCTCCTTCCACCCACCAAAGCCATTAAAGTGGACCTGAACTCAAAAGGGGAAGATCTGCTATGTTATACGGAACATCTTGAAATGTTACTTGCGCCTAAACTGCTTCCTGAAAGATTTACCTTTTGTCTTAAATTCTTCAAAAATAGTGGAGGATTTTCTAGTATGTGAGGGTGCGTAGGTACCTACGTGTCATTCCCAGAAAATAATCAAGGCTGGCATTCTACTTTGAAGATTCTTACAATTCAAACATGAAATGCTGCATTTATAATTAAATATTGCACAAAGGAGAATGAAAAGAGAAGAGTATCCATGTTATTGGGGGAACCGGCCTTTGTCTGAGTGTGACCACTCATCGACTAGTCAGTCAAAGCCAGAACTCCGCACATTCCATCTGTACTTTTGTACCATCCCATACATTGTACTGCTATATACACTGAGTGGCCAGATTATTATGACCACCTGACGTTTGTAGGCAGATTAGCTATATTTTGGCGCTGAAGTTGCTCGAGGGCCAGACCATTATAAATAGGGAAGAAGGTTGTTTACCACGACAGTAGAAGTGATTTTTTTCTGAAGATATGGGTAAACAACGCGATTTAACAGCCTTTGAACGTGGGATGATTGCTGGCGCTCAGAGCCATGGAGCGAGTATCAGCAAAACAGCAGAATCAGTTAAATGTTCAAGAGGGGCTCATTGTTAAAGTGTTTAAAGACTGGACTGTCAGCCGAAAATCTGGGTCTGAACGTGCGAATTGTGGCCGTCAGCGACTAGTCAATGTTAGGGCGGAACGGAGAGTGGCAAGACTGGTACAAGACAACAGAAGGGCAACAGTGCCGTGTCAGATTCCTTGCATCACCTTTCATCATCTCCTGGAGTCACGAGGCGGCCCAACGAAGTCATCTCGTGGCCCAACGAAGTACTGATGGGGGGGCCATAATAATCTGGCCACTCAGTGTATAGTACCACATATTAGACTTGTGCGCCGTCAAAAAATTTGTTTTGTTTCGGAATATCCGTTATTTCGTATTTCGTATCCGAAACTCAATTCGGATTCGTACGAAATACGAATTTTTGTTAGTTTCGGCACATTTTCGTAACTGTACGAACATTCGTTATGATGAAGTTAAAAAGCAAAAATACCTTTGTTAATATTGGAGTGGTAGTTGTTTTTTTTAATACGAAATACGAATTCCGTTAACGCATTCCGTATCTGAATTTCGTATTTCGTATTAAAAAAAAAACTACCATCAACTCCAATATAAATGTACTTTGCTTTTTAACTTCAATATAACGAATGTTCGTAACGGAACGAAAATACGTCAACGGAATTTCATATTTCCTGCCTGTGTATTGTAATGCAACCCTCAGCAGCAGCGGATCCGTATCTCGGATTTAAAAAAAATCTTGTCATGTTGTTAACGGAATTTCGTATTTCGGATATAATTCGGAAACTGCAATTCAGATTTCGGATGCTTCCGAATTTACGAATTTCAGGAAAATTCGTACGAATTTCGATTTGTAACGAAACGAATCGCACATGTCTACCACATATGTACTGATCCATTCACCCCAGTGCACTGCATCCCACCCATCATTCCAGCAGTACTTGACAGGCATAGAACTGTATGCTAAGCTCCCCACTCTGCCACTGAAGAAGTCCTTTGTAGATATCACCTTGCCTGAGTTTTATCCTTAACAGTGCTGGATCTGGCCAATGTGATCTACTACTCTGAGCGCGGTGTACCTCTCAGGAAAAGAGGCTCCATATGTTTTCGCATTAGCGCACTTGCAGAGCTTCTTGGACATCCTTAGTAGACAATTTCACTTTCCTGTAGCTGTTCTGAATGTTACCTATTATGTAATACAAATTCACTGAACCGTTGCAAGATTTGCTGAGCTTTTCTGTTTAATTTTCCAGACAATGATCTCTGACAAAAGTAAGATGCCATGCTGTATCATGTTTTTAGAAAAATTAAAGAATCAGCTACGAGCAATGCAAGCAGACCTTCCATTCTCTAATATTGTGGGCCTTCGGAGATACATTATTAGAGCGGAGTAACAGGCTATCTTCTTTTTCCAGGACTTCTCCATGACAACACCCATAACACCCTAATGCTGTCAAGGAGGATGAACTGGGACTATAGAATTAGATTTTCTGGTAAAGCCTTTTATAGGTAACTGCGTAAGTGGTGTTGAAAGGAAGTGTTCTAGATGCCCATAGCAGCCAGATTTCTATCACGTTCTACTAAAAAATATGATGGTTGTAAACCAATTTCATGGGAAGCAGCAATTAGATCTAAGTTTTTTGCTTTTGTAAAGTAGATTATAAAACTTTATGAGTAACATACACTTACTACCATAGTCAAATAAATATACTAGGAAGCCACAGGAGCAGGTCCAAAGTCACTTGTCCCACCTCCCAAGTTTTGTTTAGTCACTTGCACTCCATACAGCATTCAGACCTTGCAAGATGGTGGTGCTCGTAGTGAAGTCACAGATGGCGATCTCACCAACTTTCTTACCTTGTGTCTGTGTGTGCATGTGTCTTCTTCCTCCAGAGACTATGGTCTAGCAGATCTCTTAAATGGTATTTAAACCCTCACAGAATTTTGCATATATCTACTGCTAGCAAGCAGTAGATATATGCTAAAACATTAACTTTGGACGCCTGCTCCCATCTGAAGATTCTCGGGGCGGCCGCAAAGGATCATGGGGCGGGCGCATGCGCAATAAAGATCTTCGGCCGGGAGACGAGGAGAGACACAGGGTAAGTCAATGCAAGCAGCCCAGCAGCGTGCACCCGCACAGACTCCGTGGGGCAGGAAGAGACAGCAGTCAGCGCTGGATGAGAGACCGGCAACAGCGCTGGAGGGACTCTTGAAAACTACAGGAAAGAAGAAGATGATCGGATCAAGAGGCATCATTTAAGGTAAGTGCATACACCGGCATTGGGAAGGGGGAGAAACATTTTTTGACTTTAATGACACTTAAACATTTCACAGACGTTTTGTGTATCAGTTAGACATGTGCGATTCGTTTCGTTCCGAATCGAAATTCGGACGAATTTTCGGAAATTCGGACATTCGGATGTATCCGAATTCCGAATTACAGACATAACGAATGCAAACGAATCCGAATTTCCATTTCCGAAATTCGGTAGCGTTCGTACGAACGTTCGTTTCATTTTCTATTCTTATTCGTTTCTTATTCGTTTTGTTCGTTGGAGCAAAGTGACATTAGAGAAGGAGAAAAATATTTTTTCCCCCTCAAATGTCACTTTTGCGGCAAACGAACGAAACGAATAAGAACAGAAACCGAAACGAACGTTCGTACTAACGCTACCGAATTTCGTCCGAATCCGAATTCCGAATCCGAATTGACTTTCACACCCGAATCCTGAAAAACGAAATAACACAAATCCGAATTTAAAACTAAACGAAACGAATTTTTTGGCAGTGCACATGTCTAGTATCAGTACTGCTTGGACCTGAGAAATAGGGGGAACACCCCAAAAAACTTGTCCTGAAAATTCCACTGTTAGCACAAATGAAAAAATGATCACAGAACTCAACTATATTGAACGTGAACTGATATGGTTATAGTCAAAACAGAACTAAATAGATTATGATTTGGGTCCATGGGTGCGGCACTTTGCACTTAGGCCCCATTCACACCAGTTCTCAAAGGATGATAACGCAAGGGCATCTGAAAACGAATGGGAGCAGTTCACACCAGTTTTCTTTCAGATGTTCCTACCTGTATGTAAAGTAGTACAAAGTTATTAACATCAGCATATTGGTGATGATGAATGACAGTCTGGCAAGGGCAATATGGGGACATATTGCGCAATCCATTGGAGGTCTGTAATTGCAATAAAGGTTAAGAACCCGTCCTATTGGGGGAACCTAAAAATCAGATTCCATGTTGCCATTTTTAGTTTCGGATGAGTTTACGAATATTCGTTGTGAATACCACAGAAAACCGTATGCAGATATTAAAGTGGTTCTAACCCCTCCGTTTTTTTGCCTATATCAACTGCTATCAAGCAGTAGATATAGGCAAAAAGTTTTTAAAAAACAAACGCTTTAACAGCGCTTAACACTTACCTTGTTTCGGCTGCACGCTCCCGTCCGAGAAAACGAAACTGCTCCGGCGGCCGCAAAGCATCTGGGGGCGGGCGCATGCGCAGTTCGGATTCTCGGCCGGGAGACGAGCAGAGACGCAAGGTAAGTCTATGGAAGCGTGCATCCGCATGCAGACACCGCGGGATCGGAAGTAACAGCAAGCTCAGAGGAGTCAGTGCTGGATCGGAGAGCTGCCGCACCGCTGTAGGGACAGATGAAAACATGGGGAAAGAAGATCGGATTAAGAGACATCATTTAAGGTAAGTGCTGACATTTACATGGGTGGGAGGGGGAAAAATGTATCCTTTAATGTCACTTTAATACTAAAGCTGAAGCTCCCAGACCCAAATGGCATTTAGGAGCTCCCGAATGCAATTTGGAAATTCGGATCCTGAATGCCATTCGGGTCTGGGAGCCTCAGCTTTAGTGTTATATGTATGTACTGTATGTGGCTCCCATGTTGCCATAATGAAAATTCGTGTTCAGACCCATTCCGGTGCATTAAACCGAAAAACACATCTGATTGGCCAAAAGTCACATGTCCGGTTTAGTTTAGTTTTTGAACGGAATTCGGACGGGATCTGAAATTCGGATTCGGACGCATTGGGATTCAGAAATTCGTCCACATGTCTAGCAGGCATCAATCTGATTCCTTAAACCGATAATGATAATCGCACCTTGTTACCTTTTACCCCGAAGCCCCAGGCTTTAATATTACACTGAGCAGGAAAACAAAGAGGACAGAGCATCCAATCAGGCGCTTGCTTTCATTCTCTAACCAGAAAGGGAAAACTG